TACCTCAAGTAAGCTTTAGTCGCTATGACTTAAGTAAAGATTAAGAACGGCCAGAGCGGTAGGGCTCAAAGCCAGAGAACAGCAACATCACCAACGAGATGTGTCTGAAATAAAAATAAAAAGTGACGATTAACCAACGAAAGTTCGAGGTCCTAAAGCAAGATGTGTTGAAGAACACTGGATCATCAAACAAACAAACAAATTAAAAGAAATAAAAATAATAAGGTGAGAATGATGGTGATATTTATACATATATACAAATTAAATGTGATATTTATACATATATACAAATTAGCAGTTAATAAATGTTTAGATATTTATACATATATACAAATTAACAGTTAGTAAATGCTTAGAAAAGTTATGAATCGTCTCGCTTCAGCTTTGAAAAACAATTTTATATAAAGTGTAAAGTTCAAAGTTAAGTTTAAGAAATAAAGATTTAATTGAAAAGTTATACCTCTTTAAGTTACCTAGAATAAAAATATTAAAGTGATGAATGTAAGTGTTGTGTGAAATGTAGGTCTAAATATAATCCAGATAAGTTGAAACACTAGATGAAGTGTTGTTTTAGAATTTGGAAGGTATGAGAAGGATGAATAAATAAAGAGTTAAGAACGAAAGGGAGAGCAATTAAATCAAAAGGGAATGGACAAGGCGCAGTAAAGGTGAAGAATTAAGAGAGAAAGAGGACTTTTACGTTGGGCGCCAAATGTCGTGAAGCGACAATAATATATCAAAAAGAATCTAACCTAAGAACAACAAAACAACAAAAGTAGAGCCAGAAAACAATATATTTAAATTTTTAAAAGGTATTTACAATTTTATAAAAAAATGAAATGAGGATGATGATGAATGAAGTGAGAGTACAATTAGATTACAAAAAAAAATATAAAGGTAGGAGAATAGGGGAATATAGAGATGTAGTGGGGCCTAAAAGTCGAAGCGACACACGTTGCGATTGTAGAGGTAGGTTTCTTAGCAGCGACGACACGCAGCGCCTGAAGCCAGCACACGCCGGTTGCGCTTGTAGAGGTAAGTTTCTTAGCAGCGACGGCACGTAACGCCTGGAGCCAGCACACGCAGCGTCCGGAGCCGGCGCACGTAGCGCCTGGAGTAGGTGCGCTCAACGCTTAGAGTCAGCAGTTGCAGCGCCCAAAGGTAGCGCCGGCAGTAGGCGCACTCGGCGCCTGGAGTAAGCAGTCGTAGCGCCCGGAGTAGTGTGGCCCCCGTGCTTGAAGTAGTCTCGAAGCGACTTCCGAGGTAGATGGAGGCTTGTAGGAATCCGGAGTGGTGCGGCTCCGCGTTTGAAGAAGGCTTCGCCGAAGACTTCACGTGTAGGTGGAGGCTTGCAGGATCCCGGGGCAGTGCGGCCCCGGGATAAGGCCTTTAGGAGATACTTCCAATTCGCGAACTGAAGCGAGACTGCCTTTCTTCACCGATTGTTCGGCTTTTATACCTTTCTAGAGAGAACGGAAAAATTATTTAAATTATACGCAAATTTTTTGTAAATGGTCAAGAGAAAAGAGGATTTATGTGGAATTATCGAAATAGGAACAACAGATCGGTAGCAAATTTGAATATAATTACCATGGAAACGATATAAATAACAAAGACAAAACATGTCAAATTTTGGTTTTAGGTTTATAATAAGAAAACGGTAAGATTTAAGTGGAAAATGAGATATTATTGATATAGGAAAAAAGGTAGCGCAGCTGCCCACACAAAGCCCGAGATTGTAGAATTACGGAAAACTAGCTAAAAGATCGAAAAAAGGTAGACTCCATTGACACCAATTTAAAAGTGCTGATAATGTGAAAATACGAAGTAGAAATGATTTGTTATTGTGTTCTTATGGTTTAAAATCGTTACAGGATCCTATGGAAATAAAGGTGATGTAAAATATCCAGTTTTGAGGTGAATGCAGAAAATCGAAACAGAATGGAAAAATGAATTTAAAATAATGTAAAATGATATGTAAGTAGCATAACACTACAAGATATAGTTGCACCTTATATAGCCATTATTTTAATACAACCATTAAATCTGGCGTGTTTCCTGATTTGATGAAACATAGTAAAGTCATACTTTTATTTAAATCTGGTAGTAAGTTAGACCCGACAACGTTAGAACAATTTCTTCACTGTCCATGCGGTCGGAGCTAAGTTTTGCAAGACCCACCGCAGAAGAACACAAAAACTCTCCGATAACACTCTTAATCTCATGGCTGTTAGGCGAAAAATGAAGTTGCAGTCTTCAGTAGATTTCACAGCATACAGGCAACTGAACAGATATATCTCCAAATACATGCGGCGGGACTTGCTCAACTTTAATACTGCTCGTTTTTGAAGAAGCGTTCGAGCGGAACCAGGGCTCCAAAGTATTTGCCAGAGATCTGTCTGCCAAAAAGAGCCAACTGTCGAAGCTGAAGACCGAATGTAGCAGCATCGTTTCCGGGACACCTAAGATTCTGAATTCTGATTAAGAGGTTCTATGGGTAGCTGTACACATTATCGCTGGAGCTATACGCAAGTGTGAGTAACGATCCAAGAGCAAGTCTTATCCGACACTATTCCGATGATATCCCGAACGTCAGTCTGAGCGAGATTAGAATGGCTCTCCAGCACCTTAAAAACGGCTAGTCCCCAGGCGAGGATGGAATTACAACGCAGATTCTGAAAGCGGGTGGAAAACCGGTACTTAAAGTTTTTCAGAAGCTCTTTAATTCAGTATTCCATGGTGGCACTACTTCGAAAGCGTGGAGCAGAAGTGCGGTGGTCTTGTTCTTCAAGAAAGGTGACAATGCTACAGATCAATTTCCCTTTTGAGTCGCGTCTACGCGCTGTTTTCAAGAGTCATTACGAATCGTTTCATACGCAGAGTCGACGCCTTCTAGCCACCCGAACAAGCCGGTTTTCGAAAAGGCTTTAGCACCATAGACCACATACATACCCTTCGATAAATTGTACAGAAGACCGAGGAGTACAATTTGCCACTATACTTTGCGTATATGCACCATGAGAAAGCCTTTGATTCCGTCGAAATTTGGCAGTCCCTTCAGTGGTGCCAAGTTGACTGTCGGTATATCGAAGTGCTGAAATGTTTGTACAGTAGTGCTACGAAGGCTATCCGAGTACAGAACCAGAGTACGAAACCTATCCAACTGTAGAGAGGTGTAAAACAGGGTGATGTTATATTCCCGAAACTCTTCATCGCTGCATTGGAAAACGTTTTCAACCTACTAGACTGGAAAGGATACGATATTAACATCGACGGCGAGTATATCACTCACCTCCGATTTGCCGACGATATAGTCCTTATGGCAGAATTGCTCGAGAACCTAAGCAGCCTATGCTCAATAATCTCTATAGTGCCTCCCAACGAATAGGTCTTAAGATGAACATGGACAAAAAAAAGATCATTTAACAAAACAATAACGTGTAACAAAACAATAACGTCCATGTCACACCTATGCCGGTAGTTTTTGGGAGCAGCACTAAGCTCAAAGTTGTTGACGTGTATGTTTGGGACAAATGGTCCGACTAGGAGGGTCCAACTTCGACCGAAAGGTCAATCGACGGATTTAGCTCGGCTGGGCAGCGTTCGGAAGATTACGACACATCTTCTCGCCAGGTATACCTCGGGACTTGATAGCGAGACTGTATAACCAGTGCGTGTTGCCAGTGATGACTTATGGAATTGCGACGTGGTCCTTCACTGCTGGCCGTATGAGGAAGCTCAAGGTCGCTCAGCGAGCTATGGAGAGTCCTATACTCGGAGTTTCTTTGCGTGATAAACTTAGAAATGAAGATATCCGCAGTAGAACCAGAGTGACCGACATAGCCCAACGGATTAGTAAGCTAAAGTGGCAGTGAGCCGGCCATATAGCTCGAAGAACCGACAACCGATGGGGAAGAAAGGTTCTTGAGTGGCAGCCTCGTACCGGTAGGCGAAGTGTAGGGCGATCCCCCACTAGATCGAGATGACCTGGTAAGACATGCGGGAAGTCGATGCAGGTGGCTTAGGACCGTGCTTTCTGGCATTCCTTGGGGAGGCCTATGTTCAGCATTGGACTTGTGAAAGGCTGTAATGACGATGATCATTATGACTGAGATACATGAAGACATGACTCAAAGGAAAATAATGAAGACATGGCTTAAAAACATGGCTTCAAGAATCCAAGCCAGTGTTGCCAACTCGATTTTTTTAAATCCGTAGATTGGTATGAAAAATTCCGTAGAACTCCGTCGATGCTTTTTTAAAATATTCGTAGATCTGCAGATTTCTAAAGAGGATCGATAATTTTTGGTTTTGTCATAGAAATGAAATTCCTTCTATCATAAAATAATTTAATTAATTGTAGTTCAATTGTAGTGTAACATCGAATCAAGCTGCACATACAAGAAAAAAGTACCATAAAAAATTAATTAAATATTAATTGTTTTCCATTAATTAAATTATTTTTAGTATAAAACAAATATAACAATTAACACTTAAATATTTGTGGATAGTTATGATAAAAAAAAATGCGTTACAAACTTGATGCTAGAAAATTTTGAAGCAATAATTAGGCGAATGAAAAACAACGGACCATCTTTACTAAAATTAACAGAAATAATTTTTTTCCGGTTTTTGTTAGATTAGTTGATAAATTACGGTGTTTCAGACTTGGGTAATTTATGTAACAGTGAAAACTATACAAGCAACAACTTTTGAGAAATTCGAAGGAAACGCGAAGACTTATTCGGCAGATTTTTTTTAAGTAATTGAAAAAACAATTGGTACAAAATGGGGAAAAATTCGTAGAGTTGGCACGCTGTTCCAAGCCAAAAAAAAATTAAAAAAAAATCAATGACAGATGACAGTGACAATTTCTGCTTTCTAAACTGGATGTCTGCGGTCTGTATTTTTGTTGTAAAAAAAAAGTTTTACTAAAAGTATAAATTTTTAAAGGAAACCTATGATTTAAGACAAGGCAAGCAAGATAGTTAAACATAAACATGAGCGAAAAATTAAAAGAACTTAGAGAAAGATCTCAGAAACGTAAGAAATTACTAGCACAAGCGGTGAGTATCCAAACAATGTAACCTATAAAATGTGAAATCTAGGTTTTGTTTTTGTGTTTATAAAATAGAATAAAACTCGTCCCCCCAAAGAATTTCTTAGTTCCCTCAAAAATAATAATACCGAGCCGTGGTAGTTCGGGTGCTCAACTTTCTTTCGCCTTTCTTTCTCGTTTTGAGAAAGATGATTATAGAGTGAATAAGATAATTTGGACTATTAAAGACATGGTTAGTGACCCTCTCATCTAACCGTGAAACTAATATAACCAAATAAATTTTTTTAAAGACGTGAAGCATGTCAAACATGCACTGGAACAACATGGTAGAACTGCTTTATATCCTATCCTTCTCAGAAATTAGACAAGACTTGTGTCAGACTTACAACAGCCAGTACCATCAAAGATGTGAGACATCTAGTACTGCGATTGTATATTCACCTGCCAAATGTAAAATGTAACAAGAGCTGTACTAAAAATAATAATGACAATTTTAAAACAGGACTTTTATTTTCAGTTGGGGGTCTCTAGTGTAAGTGAATTGAGGCACGCTTTAGGTACAACCTTGGATGTACTGCCTAAGAAAAAAGCAGTGACTGATTATTCTCCAGAGGGTAGTGACAAACCTGTTCCAAAGGAACCTGACAGTCTTGTCTATACCGATTCTTCTACATTCTTGAAGGTTTGCGTTTATCTAAAGTTAATTATCTAAAAGTATGGTTTTTTATTTATATTCTTGGAGTCTCCCTGTATGGTAATTAGTTATTTAAATTTTTTCAATTTTTGTCTTAGTAAAATAAGTATTTTGTAGCAACCTATTTTATTCAGTGGTTCTTAACTGTACAACTTAGTGACACAACTTGCCAATCATTTAGGCCTAATAAATAAATAAATAAGGAGCTAATTTGTTAAAAATAGTGACTGAATAATTAACCATATAAAATAAAATATATAATTGAGATGTAATGATATAAAAAAAATAACTGATAGTCCATAGAACACTGGTGTTCTCTGAAGGCATACAAATTCTCTCACATACAGGGTTATTTTTCAAAGAGTAGACTTTTAAGCTTAAGTTCAAATGTATAAATAATGATATATTGTTATTGCAGTTTTGAAAATATGATATGTAAATCAGGCTTCTACTTTTATTTGAAATTATCCCAAATTGAATATGATTTTTGGGTAACAAAATTTTTGCCTACCGCTCGACGACTAAAATGAGTTAAAATAATGCATTACCATGCATTTTTAATTTAAAAGATATTTATTATTTATTCTGAACCTTCTATGCAAATTTGACCGGTTATTGCAAAATAACCCTGTATATAAAAAAGTGTTCAAAATTAAACATGATAGTATATGACAAAAGATTCTGTTATTGTTTTTCTTTTTTTATTTCAGGGCACACAGTCATCTAATCCACATAATGACTACTGTCAACACTTTGTTGATACGGGTCAAAGACCCCAGAACTTTATCAGGGATGTGGGCCTTGCTGACCGGTTTGAAGAGTATCCAAAGCTTCGAGAACTGATCAAGCTTAAGGATGATCTAATAGCACGTACTGCTACACCACCCATGTATTTACGATGCGATCTCAAGGTAATAAATTATTATGATTTTAATATTATAATAAAATATAAAAATAACAATTTTTTTTATATTATTAATTTTTTTTTTATGTGGTTTATTACATCTTTCCGACACTAGCTGATGATAAAGCTAAGTAAAGCGGGGTCTTTGACAATCCTCTTACTCCCCAGACAATGCAGAGGTAATAAAATCACATACAATTTGCATACAATTATTTTTTTTAATAAAATAAAAAAAAATATTCTTTGAGTTTTTAAAAAAAGTTATTTCTATATGTTTGAATAATGATCCTGATAACATACTTAACAGGAACCACAGGGTTTTTGTTAGATATTGCATAAATAAATAAAATTGAAGTGTCTGTTTGTAATGTCAAACTAACACAGCTTTTTACTAAATGCATATGAAATTACATACAGTACATATAACAAAAACAAAGTTTTTAAAGTTTTTGTCTGTCTGTGTGTTTGTTCCTGCTAATCTCCGAAAGGCTGGACCGATTTTGATAGGACTTTCACTGGAAGATAGCTGATGTTATAAGGAATAACTTAGGCTACTTTATTTTTAGAAAAATAACTAGGGTTCTGCTCAAAAAAATTAAAAACTTAAATTACTCATGTGGGAAGTCGCGGGGAACAGCTAGTTTATGATAAAAATCGAACTTGAACATAACATTCAATGACTATATAATCACTATGTTTGATTAAAATGAAGAAAAGATTTATTTGTTAGTATGTATGCAAAAAATTTCAAATTATGACTTGAATGTCTTGGACAAAAAATTTACACAAGTTGTAACTGTGTCCAATTTAGTTTTGTTTTGTGTAATATCTCAAAAGGCTAGAAAAATATAATTTTTTCTTACATTCACATAACAGAGGAGTCAATGACAGGATAATCAGAGGATAGTGGCAGCATTAAAGAATATATTGCCACCATTTACTTTGCATCCCATGGGTGTTGTTTAAGATGACTATATGGAATGTCATAAAAATCTAATGTCTTCCAGTAGATGGTGGCATAACCGTCTGGTTTACACAAGACATAGAATATTAAGACCTAAATCCTCCCTATAACAAGATACCCATGTCCAGAAAAGGACTTACATGTAGATGAAGTAGAAGAGCGCACACATAATGGTAATAAATTTGTTGCAAGTACAAATGTCTTTATTGTCATCGTTGAGACATTTGCATACCTACTTCTGCCACTAAATAGCAGTGCCACCACTGCTGTGTTAGGGTACCTGAAGAGTATAGTGAACCACTATTATTACAGGGTATGGGCGCATTCCATCTTTGTCCTCAGACATGACAACCGAAGGACTACTAGTTCTATTTTTGTTAATATAGAATAAGGGTAATAAGCGGGCACATAGTCCACTTGATGGTAAGTGGATGCTGTGACCCATAGACATTCTACATTTATCCTCGATTGAAAATCAAAATCCAGATGTGTTATCACCCAGGAAAATTAAAATGGAATGCCTCGTTTCCAGTAAATAGGATCTCCTGCTATTTTATTCACAGTGTATGTGAGAGTGTGGTCTTGCCCCGGTTGAGCCGACCCTTTCGGACTCTAACCATAATATACCTGCAGCGTGACTCTACCACATGTAAAATCTTTCTAAAAAAGTTCTAATTGATTTTATATTAAAAAACACACCGTCACATTATTTTTACTTATTATAAGCCAGTGCTTAACTATAATTCCACCTGATGGTAAATTGCAACCACAGCCTATTCCCTCTTGCCTTGAAGACGCCCAGATTGTAGTCGGACGGAGAGACGGACGCCGGCAAGTTATTGCACTTCTTTGTTGTACATATTACAAAAGTCTGAAGTAAAAGGTTTAGTTCTAATTCGTCTAATATCGACAACAAAGGGGTATCTTTAGTTTATTCATTTCATGTCACGCTTTCATAGATTTAACCTTTTTTACATTGTTCGATGCTTACAGACATTCGATCTGAAGCAGATGGGCAGCAAGTTCGACGTGCTGCTTGTGGAGCCACCGCTGGGTTCTGGTTGGCGGTGGCAGGACGTACTCGCTTTAGACTTGCAGCAGATCGCACAACCGCGCTGTTTCATATTCCTCTGGTGTGGCAGTTCCGAAGGTACAGATATATGTATTACTTGTGGTTTGTCTAGTGACTGCTTTGTTGATCTAGGGCCCGGGTCGGGCCGACAAAAATCACAAAAGAAATAAAGAAAATAATATTATTTTTATTCTATATAGATTATAAATAATAATTAAATTCACTCTTATGTGCCATTACCGGTTCAGAAAATACCTCTATCCTGGGAAACAGCAAGAAACCCAGTGGGATTAAATTAAAAAAAAAACAGTATCTTTAAAGTTACACAATAATTAACAACACAAAACAAATTAGACAACAAAGTAGTGATCATCTCATTCCCAAGGGTTATTATCATTGATAAATTCCTTAATATTATAATAACCCTTTTTATACTATCTTTGTTTAATAAAGTTTTTAAACTTGGCAGAAGTCAGATTTTGTATGTCAGTTATTAAGTTTATCTGTCTAAAAGTTCTCAGTAGCAACCCGGAGTCAGTCAGTTGGCGGTGTTTCACCCCCGTGCGTCAGAAAGCTCGTAAAGCTGTTGGTCTGCGCCTGATCTCTTTCCGGTCCTGTCAAATTGCCATCCCATCAGGCTATAAGAGTGGTGGTGTAGAGAGTGCACCTGTGCTTGCGTACACACTTTCCTGCGCAGTTGGCTAGTCTCCGTTGAGACTGGCCACCGTGTTTGACCGAAATTCGGTTTGGAAGACATTAGTTATGGCACAGAATAAATAATAGTATAAGAACAAAAGAATCATTCTCGGACAATAAACTTGCGAGTTTAAACCTAGTTACAACGTCGCTAATGTTCATAATACTTTGCACGCTTCGGAAGCGACCTTCGTTAACCCTATACTTGACAATGTGCATTTAAATGCACACTATTTTGTAAAAAATCCTAGGCAAAAATCAAGAATATTTTTCATTTATTTTGTTTACATTCGCGTAGTGTAATACCCATATCTTACGCCAAAAAATATTGATGAGCAGTGGCAACACCAGGACGCACAGTAGGTCACAAGATGGCAAAGCGTGCGCGGGCGTCTACGACATACAAGGTAAAAATCGTTTGGAATCGTATCATTTAACTATAAAAATGAAAAACAACTTGCTAGAAATAGTACCTAATAACACATTCTTTCGAGTGAACTATAAATTTTGTTAATTAAATTTAGTTTTCTTAGTCTAATTTTCGTGTCATTCTGCATGTACCTTTAAATGCACATTGCCAACTTAACAACAGACTTCTTGAATTTGGGTGTGTGCATTTGTGGATACATTGCCAGTTTGGAGGCAATTATTTTTTAATATATTATTATGGATAACAATGAAATTAATTATTTATTTTGGTTGGTTATTTAATAATATTCTTTTTGTTGTAGTCTTCTGCAAGAACCGCCAGAATTTTGGCGTTAGTGCCTAAGTCTGGTGCTGGTTCCGACATCGAGAACAGTGATTCTTCTGAAGATGAAGTTTATTATGCACGCAAAATTGTGGAAAACAAGATCGTTGAGGGTTCTGATTTAAGTTCAGAACCACCATCACTAGGATCTTCATTTGAAAATCTTCATTTACTTTCAGATAGTGGTGAAGATACAGTTTTCATAACAACTGTAAGCTCGTCAGTGATTGACTCGAATATTAATTCATGTCATCAAGTATCGACCCCATCTTATCTTGGTCCAGATTCACTGTCTATACTAGCTTCAGTTTCAGTTCCAACTGCTTCAGATAGCCAAAACCAGCAAATCAAACACCAAAGTCCACTGGCTACAAACATTTCATCTATACCAGCTTTCAACGTTTCGCAAATTTCACCATTAGCTGGTCGAAATGATTTTAACATTGCATCTCCATCTGGTGGCACTCGATCGAAGAAAAAAACTACAGTTGTTGTCAAAAAGGCACTTGTACGCGTAAAGCGAATAGATACGAAATGGACTTGTACGAAATCGTTTAAAGGTAAAGCAGATATTGAAGTTAGAATGTTCCCGCCATCACTGCAATCTAGGTCACCGTTAGAGTACTTTCGGATGTTCTTTGACGATGACCTTATAGAATTGATTGTCCAGCAAACTAATTTGTATCACATGCAAACAAAAAGCACACCACTTAATGTCACAACGGATGAAATAAGGGATTTCATTGCGATACATTTATTGATGGGTGTAGTAAACATGCCTGCTTACACAGATTATTGGTGTAAAACGCTGCGTTACAATAAAATTGCTAACATAATGCCATTAAAACGGTTTCAACAGATCCGAAGATATTTACACTTTGCTAATAATTTACAAGATAATGGAGACAGGTACTTTAAAGTTAGAAATCTTTTAGAAAGTATACGCCGTAATTGTCTCAAAATTGAAGAGGAAAATCGTTTCAGCATTGACGAAATGATGGTGCCTTATAAAGGTACACGAGCTGGTTCACGTAAACAATACATTAAAAATAAACCCCGTAAATGGGGTTTTAAAGTATTCGTTCGCGCAGGAGTATCCGGTATTATTTATGACTTTTGGCATACGGTGGAGAGGATACTTTTCGTTATCATGATTTTACGGAAGATGAAAATGGCATGGGTTTAGGCGCAAAAGTTGTATTAGCTTTATCCAAGACAACCAAACAACAAGCTTGTTCAGTGCTGTACTTCGACAATTTTTTCACTTCTCTGGAGTTACTGAAGCATTTGAGAAATGAATATGGCATCTTTGCTTTAGGGACTATAAGGCAAAATAGACTTCGAGGGGCTGCAGTTAAACTGCCGACTGATAAAAATTTAAAGAAAAGAGGCCGTGGATCTTTTGCCCAGGTCATTTCTAATGAATGCAAAATAGCGGTAATTAAATGGTTTGACACTAAATGTGTCACTGCGGCAAGTACGTACACTCACTCCCAACCAGTGCAACAAGTGTGGCGATATTGCAAAAAAACAAAAAGCAGAAACCCTGTTACATGTCCCAACATAATTAAAGAATATAATCATAATCATAATCATAATCATAATTTATTTGCAGAAAACATGGTACATTACAGGTTGGTAGATTTTTTTAAACCAGCATGTTTTGTCATAATGATGACATACAAATATTTATAGAATACCTAAATTACATTTTCATAACTAATATAATAAATAACATATTTTCAAATTCATCATAAACATTTTATTACATTTAATTTAATTAAAATAATATAATCGTAATTACTTAATTCATTTTAATACCGTTGCCTAATCCTAACCATAAAATTTAAATATTCTTCAACAGAGTAGAAGCATTGCTCCTCAAGCCATTGTTTAACAAACCTGCGAAAACGTCCTTTTGGGAGTGATTGAAACTCTGTAGGCAGTGCATTGAAAATTTTTATACACATAGCTGAACAATTTTTCCTATAGAGGCTAGTGCTTGGCATTACACTATGAGTCAGTCTTTCAGTATGCCTCAAGTTCCTCTGTACAGTATCTCTTATCTTTGTAAACAAAAGTATATTATTTTTAACAAAACATACCAAATTTAAGATGTACATACATGGCAGCGTCAAAATGTGTAATTTTTTAAAGTACGGTTTACACGATGAATCTGGTGCCAAACCATGCATAGCTCGAATACATTTCTTTTGGGCTGTAAAGGCCTTAACAGCATCTGTACTGTTACCCCAAAGTAAAAGACCATAATCAAGTGCAGAGTAAATGTATGCATAGTACGCCGTTATTATAGTTTCATGAGATGTAATTCTTCTCAGTCTGCTAAGTAGAAAAATGTAACTGTTTATTTTAGAACAGACCTTTTCAACTTGGGCTTTCCAGTTCACACGTTTGTCCAATAATATTCCCAGAAATTTTGTTTCAGTCATTTCATTAACAGATTGTCCATTGCAATATATATTAAGATTATTATTCAATGTTCCATAATTACTAAATTGAATATAACATGTCTTTTCTACGTTAATACATAAATTATTATATGTCGCCCACTTTGAAATATTGTCAATAGTATTATTAATATTAGATTCATAAATGTCTATGTCAATGTCTCTTTTAGATGTCACAATAACTGAAATATCATCAGCAAATAAAATACATTTATATAAAGTCGAGTCAGGTAAGTCATTTATGTATAAAATGAAAAGAGTTGGCCCTAATACAGAACCTTGTGGAACTCCAAATGAATTTAATCTATCACTGGATTTGTAAGAAGTTAATGTCTGTGAATTATCAATATTTGTTACTTCCACAAATTGTATCCTGTTTCTTAAATAGCTAGCAATCCAGTCCAGGACAGGACCTCGAAACCCTAAATTATCGAGTTTTTGTAAAAGTATTTTGTGGGATACAAAGTCAAAGGCCTTCGACATATCAAAAAAGATTGCTGTTACTCTTAGCTTATTATTGATAGCTTTAACAATTGAGTCAACAAGATCATATCCAGCAAGGCTTGTCGATTTATTATTTTGAAAGCCATATTGCTCACTTTTAATTAAATTATATTTCGTCGTAAAGTCTATAATGCGTTTAGCCATTGCCTTTTCAAATATTTTAGATAAAACTGAGACTATACTAATAGGTCTATAATTATTTAAATTTTTAGAGTCACCCTTTTTATGTATCGGCTTGACAACTGACTTTTTTAAGACACTAGGAAAAGTAGCTTTTTTAAATGACAGATTTATTAGGTAAGTTAATACTCTACTTAAAACTGTACAACAACTTTTAATAACATCCGTTGAAATGCCATCAAAACCTTCCGACTTCGTATTATTTAATGTTTGTATTAATTTCAATACTTCATCAACAGTATACATTTCTAAATACATACTATTACATACTCTTAGACTATTAGTGTTTTGGCACTGATTACTGTTATTATTGATATTTGTTGATTGAATAAAGTGGTTGTTGAAAGCTTCAGCAATTTGTTGAGGGTCTGTCAAAGAATTATCACTTATACAAACTTTTTCAATTAAATTATTATTTATGCAACAAGTCTGATTTTTTATTATATTCCAGGAAGCACGACATCTATTTTTTGATTGCA